GACTATAATTTAGTTACTGTATCATTACAGTTCCAAATATCATATAACTTTTCTCTCAGTGTGTGTTCTTCGAATTTCTTACAGCGAGATTTGGCCCGAAGAGCAGAGCGAGACAGAGTTGAGAATATCACGCGCACGAGTCGGGACGATTTTTCACAGTGAATTTGTTTAGAGCGAATTTCCTTCGCTCCGCCGAATCGCCGAGTGTGAATATGCTCGCTCGAAATTGAAAAGTGCCACCGTGTCGCGTAGGAATAATTTCACTGTAATTGAAACATTTGCTGACTCGTGTGGGGTCGAAACTCGCACTCCGAGCTTGAGCGAAATATTCATGTTTTATGATTTTAAGTGGCGGTAATTTCACCGTCGCTCCGAGCGGATTTTCGTTCCTTTCCAACGAAATTTCACTCGAGAGGTGGCCGGAGGGCCACTCGAATCGCTCGAATTTGACTGATCTTTTACTCGCGCAACGAGAACGAGTTCTCCCGAGCAATCACTCCGTGCCGTCGAGTGAATATTTTCCCGCGAAGTCGAAAAGTAAAGCCGACCGATCGAAAGTCCTGACGCACTCCAAGCTCTTCTCCGCTCCTAAGTGGCGGTGCTTTCACTATCGCCTCGCCCGTCTCCAGCGTGAGATTGCACTCAAAGAAATTTGGAGACCAAATCTCAGAGGGAGCGGATAATGGGAGCACCCTCTGGCATCCTTCGCGTACAATTATAAACGCTGCGAGCATTACGCTAATGGATCGCGCGACGCGATCGGAGCGTAACGCCGTTCCCGACTCGGTCGATTCATCACGCGCGCGTCATTACCGTCGGCGAACGGAACCGCCCTTCACTCTTCGCCACCCTCCCTTACTTGAACTTGTAACTTCTCGGCCGCTCGGGGGATCAGTGGCTAATTAAGCCATCGTCGTCTCAACGACTCTGACCGACGTCGGCTCCGTCTCTCCTTCGTCCCTTCTCCGTCCGTCTTCCTCCGAAAGCAGCTGCTTGGAGTAGTTTGCCCTCCAAGACGCTACAGTCGAGAGAATGTCCCCGAGGGGTGCTTAAGGCCGCTGTAATCGGTCCCGCTCCCACCTACCCCCGCCTGCAAAACTGTCCTACCGCACGTTATCGGCCATTATTCCCGGCGGGGAGCTCCTCGGAATTGCCATTTGAGGACCTTCGGCCGCGCGACGCACTTTCCTTCCGTCACATTTCACCCTCGCCCCGCACCCCGTAACTTCTTCTCTCGCCGAGAAAGAGAGAGATGTGCCACAATGTGAGCGTCCACGCGAACACGGCGATACGGGCTCCTTTATGGGGGCGCGCGTAGGCGAATTTTTCTCTCAGCATTGATTCAGGTCGTCCCTCTCTCTTTCACGAGGGAGAAAGTGAATCGCGAGACCCATCAGTAGCACACCCGGTCGTCAGCTTCTTCACCCTCGTAATCGGGATTTCGAGGTACAAAGATGGTGCACGAGAGAGAGAGAGAGAGAGAGAGAGAGAGATATACTTGCATGTTTGCGTGCTGATCAAAATTCACAGCGTGATAATTTTGTCGATTCATCCCTCCCTCGGTCTTTCTCACGCGACACTCGGCTGAGGGTTCATCATCGCGGGTCTCTGCCTCCAAGACGCGCGCTGTTTCATTGGCATCACTTGCCGCAGCAGTCCCCATTGAAACACCTCCTTCCGAGCGCTTTTCCACTTGTCGGGCATTGATCTCGCATCTCTCCCGCGCGAGCGGCCATCTCGCGCACCCTTAATCTCTCCCTTGCGTCTCTCCCCGAGCTATCACTCGGCTGTGCCTTCGTACACGACATCCGGCGACATCCTCGAGGCGCAGCTGCGACGCGAGGTCGCTCGCTCGGTCGAGTTAGCCAGCCGGCGATCGTCACGTCTCGTTTATCCGCCGTGGATCGCGAAGCAACCCGGCCGGTTGCTCGCGCAGTTTCGAGTGTCTCTCGACGCGCGAGCAGCCCCGCTGACTACTTGTATTATGCAACAATAAGGGCGTTAGAAACACAGGGTGGTGGTAGACGGCCGATAAGTGCAGGTTCAAAGGGCGTGTATTCAGCGAACGCGCTCCTTCTCTTCCTTCCTCTCTCTTCTCTCTTGAAACGAGCCCCTTTCTGCTCGCGAGACCGGCGACGCGATAAAGGCAGAGGAGAAAGTAGAGAGAGAGAGAGAGAGAGAGAGAGAGAGAGAGTGAGTGAGTGTGAAAAGTGCTCGACAGAACCTTCCGTTCTGGATTAATGTCTCGCTCGGGTAATTTCGTTACCTCTAATTAAGCGTTTGTTCGCACTCCTGCTCTCTTTCTCTTTTTCTTTCTCTCTCTCTCTCTCTCTCTCTCTCTCTCTCTCTTGCTCTCCTGCGCTCTCGCGCACGCGGAAGGGTTTTTTCTCTCAATGATAGATAATTATTCACCGTCGACGCGAAAAATTAATCTCGTTCGCGCGTCCGCTCGGGGATAATTGCTCAAGTTGTCTACTGAAATCGCCGCGCTCGTCGATGAATTTCCGACCCGACACCCCCGCCCCTCTGCCCTTCCTCTTCCTTGCGAGTTCGGCTTGTGCGGGAACTTGCGCGGGACGAGTCAGCTCTCGTGGGTGTATTTTTGCCGACGTCATGTACGTCATTCGCGACGCACGCGGAAATGCCAATAGATTTATTTGCTGATCGTGTTTGCGTCCTCGTTAGCATCTGATTATGTTTACTGCGATATTGGTTTTGTAAACACGCGTCTGGCGCGAGTAATCAATTTACGAATGAATTTCCAACGTCGGCGAGCCTCCCTCTTCCCTCCCTCTCCTCCTTTCTCTCTTTTCCTTTTTTTAACCGTTTTTCCGCGGATTCCGGCGGAATTTGCTGCGGCGTGATTCGCTCTCGGCCTGATTGACTAACCTTTTGGAACGGCACGTTGAAAAATTCGCTGAATTATCTTAACGCGCTAACGTCGCCGAGTATTGATTTTACAGTAGCACGCGTTGCCCGCCTATTGTTTGACAACGAAATCAATTGTGCGAGAGAGAGAGAGAGAGAGAGAGTGTGTATGTGTGAAAAAATGAATGAGTGAACGAGGGAGGGCGGTGGAAACAGCAGCGGGGGCTAAAAGTGAGATAAAAAGAGTTTCTCCCCCACAATAACTGTTTATTTTTGCGCGAATAAGGGTTGGAAGTCGACGTGTTGGCAGATGCGTCGATAAGGCTCGGCATTATTCGGCCTCGTCGCTGGATAACGAACGGACGCGCTGAAGTGCGCGAAAGTTTTCCGCCGCGGAAAACTCGGGCGGCCATCGTCGTTAACATCTGAAAATTAATTATCGTATTCGCGCGCCGTGTATAATTCCCTTGTCGTTGAGAGAAAAAAAGGAGAACTACTCACGAGCCGATCATTATATCGCTGGCTTTTGCCAGTGAGGTTACATTGTTTATACGATAATTGGATCGCCTTCGTCGACGTTCATATTCGGCCGGGAACACGTTTCATGTCGAGCACGTTTTAGCCGCGGTTCATTTCGCGCTTTAATACGTTAATTAATTGTCCCACGTGCGCATTGTCATTGGGACAACGCTGGCACCGCGGGAGAAACCGGTGTATTCGGTTCATTTGTTGTACGTGGGAAAGAGAGAGGGGGAGAGAGAGGGGAAAAGATACGAAGAGAATGCGAGAAACAGCGTTTCCCCCGCACGGAAAAATTTGCATGGAAATTGCGCGGAGATTTTCGCGCTATTCGACGCGAGCGGAGAAACATGCCCGAGCGTTAGATTTTTCATACACTGAGAGAAAAGTATATGATATTTGGGACTATAATGATACAGTAACTAAATTATAGTCCAAAATATCATACTTATAGTAAGTATTATAATATCGGTGATAATTACGATATAGACATAGTATAACCAACCATATAATATTTTTACTGAGAATTATAGTAAGTTAAACTAAAATTATTATGTACGGATACAAATCCATAAAATGGTAGGTAAAGTAACTCTTTTATATAGTCAATATTACCACCAGAATATTTATTAAATGATGACAGATGTAACTATATGAATATTAAATCTCACTATATCAGTGAATGAGAAATTACCATATATGTGGTAAAAGTAACTGAACGATTATTTAAGACAATCATTGACTATATATTTGTGTTTACTCCACTATATTCTGCAGGTTCCACGAACTATAAAAATATGCTTGACGCCGAAATGAACTATAAAATATAGTGAGATTATAGTTAATTCAACTATATTTTTCCATCACTGTACGTTGTCGTTTCGTTTCCGCGACGAGAGCGGCGTAATTGTGTAATAATAACAAACGTGCGACGCGATGCAACGACGCGGTCACCGCGCGGTGCTAACGTTCTTTTTCTCCTGTCGTCCGCGGGAACACACCGGGGGATTCCCGCTTCTCCCGTTCGCTGGAGAATCGCGTGTAAAAACGCGGAAGATTTGAATATTTTCATTAGCGGTGCACGCGAGTTATACACTTCCGTCGAGATAAAACTTCCTGGGGATGTGTCGGAGGGAAGTGCGCGCGCGCTCGCTCGATCGACGGTCGTTCGCTCGTTTCCACCCTTGCGGACGTGGATAAGAGGGTTGGAACGCACCCCTGGGTCGGTAAGCGTGGATAACATAGGGAACTGTGCGAGCATCGCCTTCGCTTCGCTGGAAAAGCGGGAAAACAGGATCACGTATCCGAGGCTGATAACGTGCGCTGTTTCGTCGCCGCAGCCACGGTGGATAAATTTCAGTCGGCCTCGCGCATCGTTTGCGAATAAAGAAACTCGCGATCAACGGCAGGGAGGGGGGGGAGACACGATTCTCGCGCGATCGCACTCCCTTTTTCTCCTTCTTTTTCATATCTCGCGCGGGAAGTTGCTAAATTGCAATTTAGCTCTGCCGAAACAATCTCCAGTGCTAAACAACGTTAACATCGTCATCCAATCCATGAACGCGGCCAATGGCGGACGCAAATGAACGTGAAGTTGTCTCTTGTTGTTGCAGCAAAGAAGCAAAATGGCGCTGCTCTGCGGACGAACAGTCTGGGCTCGGGCGCGAGGACGCCGCCGTTGGAAAGAAAAAGCAAGTTCTCGGCCCTCGGTAGACTCTTCAAGCCTTGGAAATGGAAGCGGAAAAAGAAATCGGATAAATTCGAGGCTGCTTCGCTGTGTAAGTAAAAAAGTACGCGTGGTTTAGAGGAGGCGCGGAACGCGCGGCGGATCTCCCGCGTTATCGCGACGTCGTCATGTTATTGCAGATAATCCGCCGTTGCATCTTAAAGTGACGGGCTTTGCTCAATCCCGCGTATCTACAAGAGAAAAGAAAAGAGAAACATTTAAACGCACTGTCGCGCGCGCCAAGTCAATTATTTACGAGCGCGAATGAATCGTGTAATCTAGCGCTAACCTAACCTAACCTAACCTACTTACTGGTTCCGTTTCCACTTATCGCGACTTATTCTCTTGTTTTCACGCGTTATGGAGGAGAAGGCACCGCCGTAAGCGAAGCTCGGAATTTTCCGCCTCCCGCGACCGATCTCTCTCCTGTAGGAATTCTCCGATATCGAGGATTCGTCTGAATTGTACGACTTTGTTATTGTCGGCACATGGGCCGACGATACGGGGAGACCTAACCTCCGAGGGCGTTAACCTCCGAGCTTTGTTAACGACTGCGGTGCGTCCGACTGGTACGAACAATGTGGTTGACGTGCGCGTTGTCTTTGCTTTGTGCGTTAACAGCGCTCGAGAGAAAGATCTCGGTACGTGCCAGTAGAGACGAGTTGGTGCAGAAGGGGATACTGCTGCCCGTGATACGATCGACATCGTTTCCCGAAAATGGTGAGTGTGCACACCCGTTTCCCTCTACTGTCCGTTGTGACAGAATATACGTAAAGGATGAGGAAGATGAGAGATGAATGCGATGCAACGAGTGAGAGCCGAGCGCGAGTTTTCAGCCGTATAATGTCATTAATATTAAAACAGCATTTATTTCTTTCCCAATTGCACAGCTTTCTGTACTATTTCATAATTTTTCATACTATTTCATACATTTTTATACGCTTTATTTTTTATTTTTATACACTTATAAAGCAGTATTGAATAGTGCAAAAATAATTTTAATTGTTATTTTATTATATTTCATTTCATTCTAATTATATTATTGTGTTAATAATTTATCATCAAGTAAATAATTCATTTTTTAATAATGTAAGAAGAACATGGCGCTTGGCACACTGCTCTTTGCATTTGGCGCTCTCGTTCCTCCTCGCTCTCGTCCGCTTCGATTTCGTTCCGGCGACTCGCCGGCGTCGATCGAAATTCCGCCGTATCGACTCGACATTTTTCCGTGCCGTCGGCCCCCCTCCCTCCCCCTCGGCCGAGCGGCGGCAAATATTTTCTGATCGGTCGACGCGACGTGAAATTCGGGGCTTCCTCGCCAGACGGGAATTTCCGAGTCCGCTCGCGCGACTCGCCCCCTCGTCGTCGCTGGCGAGAGCCGCCGCAGGAAACGAGAAGCTGAGTGCCGCCGCCGGCGTCGGCTACTTCTGCCCGATGTCGAAGGTCGTAATTGCGTTTGACACTCGTTAGCGTGAGTTTCCAATTTCCGTAGCTCGCGCGACCAGCCGCCGTTTTCGTCAGGCGCGCGTGATTCAATCGCGGGGCGTAGTCGCGTGCCGCTCATCGCTTATCGTTCGTGTACGTTACCGTTCTCGCACAGATAGCGGCATAGATAACATCGGGCGCGGCCGTCGACGTTATCGCGTCACGATATGAGAGCGATCCCTCTTACCGACGAATTGCCGGGGAATCCCGCTTGCGCGGCTTCGCGCTCTGTTCGAACGTGGTGTTAGCTGGCTCGTTCGACGCTATAGCGGCGGATGTTTGTCTTCTTCTTTGTCGACTCTCTCTCTCTCTCTCTCTCTCTCTCTCTCTCTCTCTCTCTCTCTCTCTCTCTCTCTCTCTTTCTGTCGCTCGTGCAGTCGTCTAAACGCGCGGAAATTGCGAAAGATTCGAGGCAGGTATTCGCGTTTGATTTTCCAGTTGCGACTCAAAGTCTCACAGGTGTCCCGAAAATACTCGTGATCGATAAAAAACGCGTCCTCTCTCTGAGTTTCCCTTTGGTACTTCATACACTCAGAGTGGGAGGAGATTCGCTCGAAGCGGTTTGCGAAAATCTGCCGGGCAGAGACATCTCTAGGAAAAACTGACCATGAGGCAGAAACGAGTCAGCTTTCAGTAGGGACTTCAGCAGGTTTTACCTGGGCTACATCAGACTCACTGTTGAATCTCAAGTGAAAATATTCACCGGTCGATTCGGACAGCGAGGAATTCGCTCGGCGAACAAGCGAACACTCGATATCGCTTCGCGTTTTCACTCTGAATAATTCCGAGAGTTTAACACAGAATTTATTTACCAAACGTTAACAGCGCGTGGCCGCTCGCGGGCCCAGAGTTCCTCTCAATTTTATCGACATAATTTGATAATAATAATAATGGTAATAATATAATATAATAAAATTACACGTAAAGCTTACAGTTACAAACCGGCCGTCGAGAACATTATTTCAATTATTTATTATTTATTATGCAATTATGCTCGCAAATAGCGGACGGTTTTTTGTCAGCGCGCGTGTATCACACGCATACACACACACACACACACACACACACATACGTGCGCACACAATATTCGCGCGCTACTCTCTCAATTCGCGTCGAGAGACGCTTCTCCTTAATTTTAGCAGACGGCTCGAGGATCAACGAAACTTGTCGAGATACGCGCGGGGTGATTAGTACATCTTCCCTCGGTACTTAGCGCGTAACAATGGCGGGGCCGTTGTTACTACCTCCCCCCGGTCGAGAAGGAAAACCCAGGTCCCACTATTGATCCCGAAACTATTCCGCGAGTTTCGCCATCAGTCATCCCTCAACTCTCATCCAAACAATTCGAACTTTTCGAGAAAGGAGTCTCGGGCGCGCGCGCGGACGTACTCATTCCCAACCCCCGTAATTAAAGTATATCGCTCGCAGTCCCGCGAATTATTTGTCGGAAGTTGCGAAACTCGTCGGGTTGCCTCGGCGACGAGGGCTGGGGAACCGTAGGGCTATTTATCAACGTACGTCACCCCCCCTGCGCCGTACCGCGAGATACGTTATTTAAATTAACCGCAGAATCGATCGAGGCTCCGCCGAAACAGCGCACGCACGGCGATGTAAGCGGTGGCGAATTATCGAGAAGCAAAGAGAGAGAGAGAGGGGGGGAGGGGGAGAGGGGGCGAAGGAAGCGAAATATTTCTATCAGTATCAGACATCGAGGGCTGAGCATGTTGAAAAAACTTCCAACATCCTCGATCCCGCGGAATTCCTCGGCAAGGCCGAGGAGCAACGTTCCGCGCGAATTCGAAACGCCCGATCATGGTCGGCTGGCGCTTAAAGTTTCCGTTCGCTCGCGACGGCGAGCGTTATAAATGACACCCTCTCGAAGGCGGTATCTCGCGCTCGCGCTCGCAAACACGCTCCTCGGCACGAACGCACGGCGGCGGCCGGACGGGGGTTGTTGGCGCGTTTCGGCTTCCGCCGGCACCGGCGGGAATCGATCGCGTGTGGAAGCGCGTACAGTCGGCGTAGTTAGCGCTGAAAAGCGCGCTCCAGCCGTTGCTTCGGCGCCGCCGAATGAATGTCGAAGATCGCGGCTCAAGGCCTGCCCTCTTTGCAGAGACGATGAGCGAGTCGACGGACGCGCAAAAACCGCCGACGCCGCAGCAAACGCCGCAGCAGCAGCAGCAGCAGCAACAGCAGCAATCGCAGCAACAGCAGCAATCGCAACAACAGCAGCAGCCGTCCGGGGGCGTCGGGGGTGGCGCCGGGGGTGAGGGCACCCCCGCGGCGACCCCCACGTCCGGCGGTAGCGTGCAGCAATCCCAGCAATCCCAGCAAGTTCCGTCGGCCACGCCGACCCCGACGACTGCCAACCTGCATTCTGCAGGACCGCCCAGCAATCAACCGTCGCCCCATCCCTCGCCCCTCTATCCCGGGATACCGCAGGCCGGCCAGCCCAACGGCAGCACGCAAGGTAAGACGAGCACACGTATTGATATGCAAACACACGCGCCGGCGTGCGCGGCCCGAACTTGAAGAACGCGAGCCAGCACGCGCCTGGCAGGAAGCACCGACAAGTTTCTTCTCAGCGAGCTCTGGCGCTTCCTTCTTCGTCCTTCGTCGCCTGCCTTTTGTGATTTTGCTTACCTAAGCTCTGGCCCTAAGAAGGCCAATTGGCGCTCTTGAAATTCGGAAGCTCCTTCGTGTCCTTTTTCGACCTTGCCTCTTGCCTTTTGTAATTTTGTCTACCAAGCTGGCCCTAGGAAGGCCAATTGACGCTTTTGAAATCCAGAAGCGCCGATTCCTTTTTGACGTCTCTCATTCGGTCGGACGCGAGCTCTTCATCAAAGGCGAGAGGGTGAGGAATCTCGCTGGAGATCAGTCATCCGGGGGCGATCGTCGCGACGAGGAAGCCCGAGCTTTCGTGGAGTAACCCGGAATAGAGATTATAATAACGATGTAATAGAGAGAGACAGAGAGAGAGAGAGAGAGAGAGAGAGAGAGAGAGAGAGAGAGAGAGAGAGAGAGAGAGAGAGAGAGAGAAAGCGGACTGATCAGCAGTTTAGGGTTGAATTTGGAATCGCGATGGCACTGCGCTTTCGGAATTATGAGAGGAATCGGCATCTCCGTGTCGGCAGAAAGGGAGGGAGGGAGGCGGAGAGTGGATCGATGGGCGGCGCAAATATCGTTGGCAATGCGAATTCCGATTTTTCCTTTCCGTCGGCAGAGCACGCTCGATATGGCGCAACGACGCTAAGAATGCGACATTGCGCTGTTGTTTTGCATTTCGCACGTCACGTGCGTCCTTCGCTCGGCCAAACGCGAGTTCTCGTTGAAGAAGAGAACGAAAAGTCTCGACCCACCGCTTTTATCCGGGACGTCCGTCGCGACGGAGGACGAGCCGGAAAGGGCAGACGGCAACAGCGACGATAGCGAGTAATTAGGTAGTCCTTGTCGAATTTTGGGTCGCGTCGATACTCTGCAATTTCGTAACCGCGAGAGAGGGGGGAGAGAGAGAGAGAGAGAGAGAAAGGACGTGGATCGATGTACGGCGGGAATTATCTTGGTGTAAATTCCAAATCTCCCTACCCATCGCGGCCGAGCGTGCAGAAATCCGCTCGATACACGACGCAGCGGTGCTAAGAATCAGATATATTACCGCGGCCAGACTATTATATGCAGGGCGACTGTACGGGCTGACGTAAAAGGACGATATTGGATTATTCTATTCGGTAAGGGGTGGGTTCCCCGTCGGGGAACGCAAAACGAACCAATTTACACGGCTACAGATCCTCGAGATCCGATATCGCGCTCGCGCACGGCCAAATAAATCGTTCTATTTCCGCCGTTTCGCTTCGGTTTTGCCGTTTGTTGTATAATGGAGACGGCAGACATTCTGGCTGCGCGCTGCGAGCAACCCGAAGCGACGGTGTGAGTTATTGCCGTGTTCGACCCTCGCGCCCACCTCGGCGCACGAACATTTGCGATCAGCGTGTTAACGCGTCTATTCGCGTAACGAAACCTAATTATCCGCTCGTGTATTGACAGACGCGTACCTGGCCCGCGCGATCCGCTGATAACTCGAGCGATGCACACGCGAATGATAGGCGCGCGCGTGCGACGTACAAACGCTCCCGTCGTGCCGCAATTTCCGCCTCGCGGTTTAGCGGTTTTTCAGCAACTTCGATACTTTCCGCTGCAGTTTTATCCCGACAGCGACCCTTTGCATCTCCCTTGGATCCCTTCCGCGAGATCGGTTTCCCCCGAGTCTTCGACCGGCCGCCAGTTGAGAAAAAAAAACACGATCAGTCTCGCGGAAAATTGGTTGTACTTTAGTAGGCTTCATCTAACTACATCCAACTATATCCGCTCGTTGTTCCGGCAAGAAAGGAAAGATTTATTCTCTTCTCAAGGATATCGTGTCATGAAACTTGCGCTTTCTATGCGCAGAAAAAAAGAATCGGAAGAATCGAAGAATCGAATTTTTCTTTCAATTTAATATTTTTGTTTATTCTTGTATATTTTTGTATATTTTTGTTTAAAGCACCAGGCTGAGTAAGATTTAAGCATTTCAAGTAAATTTGACGCTCAACCCATTTGCATCCGCAAGCAGGATAATCCGCGCATAATGATCGTCACTTATCACCAGCCGCGGAATAATACGCTCGCGACGACGTTCACTTTTCGCGTGAAATGATGTGCGTTAAGGGGACTGGAGGGTCAGATTGCTGAAAAATCGTGTTTGTCTTTGATAATATTTTGTGACGAACTGAATAAATGTGCGAGAATGAAAATTTTAGGTATATTTATACGACATATGAAGAGCAGAAAAATTTTGTTTATTAACAAACACTTCAGCTATATATATACGATATATATAGCCGAAATGTAATAAGCTGTCCCTTTTTCCACGCAAATTTCTGTGATACTTGAAACAAGCAACATATATATTTCCTTGCGCGTGTGTACGGCGATACTCGTTATACGAGAATGATAGCAATCCTCCGCCCTCTGGAATCGCCCTCTAACGCGTGATTACACAGTCGCAAGTACCGAGCACTCTTTTTCCCAGTCGTCGAGCGTGAAGTCTGACCCGCTCGGCCGGCCAAACGCGACGAACACACGCGAGAGTTCAAGCGAGAGGGTATCACTGTCACGCGCGCGCGCGCGCCCGCGGACGCGCTCTCGATTAATTGTAAATTACATGCACGGCGGGAGGGGGTAGGGAGCATTGTGTATTTCCCCTCGGTAAAGCCGGCCGGGTCGTCGCTGGTCGCGTAATGAGCTCCTCTCTTATCGTCCTCGGCACCTAAAACGCTCGCGCACAACGGTGTAAGCATAAGCGATGACCTAATTACGGGACGCCGTGCGCCGGAGGTAACATTAACGGGTTACCGAGTACAATCGCGGCGCCGCGTACGACCGATTAAATTCCTCGACGAACCCGCGCCCACCCACAGCATCTCCTTCTCGGCCATGTCTCGCGCGCCGTTAATTAAAATAATAAATTCGAAGCCTCGGGCGATAACGCGTGCTACATGCTGCCTTCGAGCCGACCTCTCGCTTCCAAAAATCCTCACCGAGGAGGCCGAGGCTTTTTCTCGTACGTCGACGAGTCCCTCTCGCGTCTAGACGAAGAGGCGATCCGTTTTACTCCGCCGAGGTTCGCGAAAGAAGAGCGGGTCGAAAATTTAATCGGGCGTTTAACACGATTTTCTTCCCTCACGCGATTATCTCGTCGAGTTCCGTTTGTGCTCGCCGCGCTGACACCGTTACTCGTTTTGACTATTATTAGTCCAACGCCTCATACGGCAAGATATAGCCGGGCTGACCTGGATCTGCCGCCGCGTTTTCGCAAGCTTGGCACGTTTAATGTATTTTTAAGGTAAATTGGACGACAACCTATGGAATAAATAATGACGCACGGTCGTGTCAAAATAGAAGGGGCCAATTTCGCCCGGTGATATAATATTCCTCCAAACTGATATCGGGTTTCCGGCTCGCGGTATATAGAATTCTTTTCCGATCCTCTCTCTCTCTCTCTCTCTCTCTCTCTCCCCTTCTCTCTCTCGTTCGCTCGCTCGCTCCCGCTTCTCCACGAATCTGCTTAAAATTCTGTTATCGATAGCTCGGAAGAGCGGACGCGAAGAGTTCACCGTTGGCTCCCCTGGAATATTGGATTCTTTTTGCTTTCTCGCCGGAATATACTCGCGGTAATGCTCGCGCAGAAATATCGCGAGAGCTTCTCGCGTCGGACGGAATTCGCGCGAGTCGCGTGAGCGCGAAAAGATGTAACGTCGCGCGTTCTTCGGCGCCATAAATCGCGCGAAATCCAAAGCATGATCATCCTCATTCCCCGCAGCGTGTCACACATTCCACATCTAGAAGCGTGAAACGAGTACGGATAAAAATAGAGGGTCGGGCAGGGGGGAGGGAACAAAGCGCATGCAAATCGGCTTTCGCGAGCAATCCGATTCCTCGGTGGTGTGTAAGCGCTTGACGTATCGCAAGGTTATCGGGTTTCTTCGTCGCTCTAAACCGAAGCCATAAAGAACGCGTTATCACCCGACCGCGTAATGCGATCTCGCGAGGCTCCTTCGCGGCCATTCGCGGCCACTTTCGGCTGCAAACTTGACAGAAACTCGCGTTTTCGACCGATCGGTCAGCGTGGACTCACCGCGCAGGGTCAGACTTCATCCAACTTCACTCCTATTGACTCCTAATTTGTTATATCTCAGGTTTATGTTTTCTAGACCTATGACGCGAACTATTCGAATTCGAGTCGAATCGATTCGATTCGAATCCGAATCCCTATGATTCGAATCCGAATAGTTCGAATAGGAATCAAATACATTATCGTTTGTGTGCATCAGCTACAAACTACGGGCCATCTGGACCTGTATGTTTGAACCCTTAACTTGTAATTCACTTAACTTATAATTAATAACTTGATTATAAATTACTTTAATTATTTAAATATATATTTTACTTCAAGACGATATTACAATATCAATATTCCCTTTCATATTAAAATCTTCCATCATTATTTGCATGTTTAATAGTCATGTTAAATTTTTTAATGATTCGATTCGATTCGAATTCGAAATGAAATTTCATAGATTCGAAGGTGTGCACTGCCTCAGCGATAAGAAAACAAACCTCTCGCGAGAAGGCCCAGTCTGCGTGTACAAAAGTCGGTGCGAATAAATAATATCCTTTTCTGCGCAGCCAGCAAGGGGGTAGTTACAGTCGCGAGAATATTGTCATCTCAGCACACCTAAGGGTGCTGTCCTTCAAATTACGCGTTGGTATCGATCGCAGACCACGCAGGACTTCGCCGCGTCGCGTCGCGGCGCGGAGACTTGACAGCGCGGATATTATACGTCTCGATCTGCCGCACGGATATTTGTCATATGAGCTTCCCGCTACTCGCAGCCAAAGCCTCGCTACCTGTTGCGATTCGGATAGTTTAAT